CAAATGAAGCCTCAATTTTGAAATCTCAAGCTATTACCGCCCATTAGCAGAGCAACTGTCAAGGCCTCGATCGTCATGGTTACGGGTCATGCCCTAGCTGAGCGTGCCTGACTATCTTGGTGAGGCAGTATGGAGAAATCGTGATTCTCATAGCTCAAATATGGTTGAGCTTGAATTGGGTTATCAAGTCGGACTTGGACCTAATGGTAAGGATGGGATGAGGAACATGCAGTGATAGCGTATCACTATCCCATACTCATCTAGGAATCACATAGGATGTGATTGACAAAGTGTTGTCTACCTAAATAGCATGGTTTTGAGCGTCATGCCCTAGCTGACTCAAAAGCATGTGAAATATGGATCCTAGCTCACTTGGAAACTCATTGAGGGTGTTTTTCTTAGTGGGAGCCTGTCATATTGCATCTATTATCTGTGATAGTAAGTGTACTAAGTGACTTGCATATTTTCTGTCTGTTTGTTTGTCTTTTTCTGTAGTGTATATCTGTTGCAGGAATCTGGTTAATCTCACCATGCGATCTATCCTTATGAAGGATAAGCCTCTAACCAAGGCTTCTGGATCGATCATTGATGCTTATTGGAAGCATGAGGATAATGATCTGGACGTGTCCAGCTTGATGCTTGGAAAGATGTCTTCGGAATTGCGTGAGCAATTAGATGACATGGACAATTCATTGATGGATGATCAGTTGAATATGTCATTCCAAGAGAAAGCTGGGAGCCAAGGGAAGAATGATATGGTGATTGTTGGAAAGAGTTCCAGCAAGAGGAAACGTTCCAAAGGTAAGGGCAAAAGGAAATTGACAAGTGTTGTCACTAAGCCTAAGTCCAAATTTTCCGAACCACAAGTCATGGTTAGCCTCTAGCAAGACGCCATGACCACCCACCTAGAATAGAGTTAGAGGTGATCTAACAAAGCCAGCAATAGTTCGAGTTCTGATCCTTTGTCTCACGATGTCATATGTTGAACAAGGGCATGGTATGAGCCACCCTTCAAGTTCAACCGCTTACTCGTCTAGGCAAACCGACTGATAAAATAGATGTACATTCATCTATAGCGTGGCCACGCATTTTCACAGTCCGATTTCCACGAGGGGCCCAGCGACATCTCTCCTGCGTAGGAGGTGACAAGTCCCGTATTGCATGTCTACTATCTGCATATGATTCGTGAACGTATCTGAGCAACGCCGTTATGATCATCCGGTTAAAGACGACGTTTGACGCAGTCAAGACACGTCACTCCTCATATCAGATACTCTAGACATCTCAGGTCTGAGGATCCAAGAACGAACCGCTGTATGAGATTCAAGTCATGACTCATGTCCATGTGACAATCTCATGCGGGTCATCCAGTAACTCGTTCCAAACGAGAACCCATGATTGTGACTTGCATCTAATGCATATGATCATAATCATCTATCACACATCATGCTGGTCTTAATTCATCATTGTTCCCACAATGATAACTGACCAGGGAATTTAGAATCATCTGCAATGATTCAAGGATATTTACCGTAATATAACAAACATGCTAATCATATAACGGGAAAAGTAATGCATTCATAAATCAATGAATCAATACAAAGTCAAAATGTCATATCACGGATCATCCTAGAGCATCACAACCAACAGGAATGACCCACACGCTTGCAGTGATTGCAGAAAGTATGATTTCTTCTCCCTCAGCGTAGATGAAACAAATGGTGATTTCTGAGCATAATGAGCAAGAGCAGTTGGATTGGTGAACAGATTTGTGCCTCCTTCTTCTCGTTTAATCATCATACAGATTTCATCGAATGATGATAAGGTGGTTTGATACAGCATATGATAGACACGGTCATTGTATGAAGGATCAAGACTTAACAGGAGAGAATACACCTTATCTTCTTGTGAGCGAACCAAGGATTCTTTCAGGTCTGCAGTCGGTGGTCGGATCTCGTCAAGTTATGTCCAGAGGGCGCATAATTTACTTTGGATCTTGTTAAATGGTTGACCGTTTTGTTGCAGTTGAAAGAGTTTCTTCTTAATCTCAAAGATTCGGCTTATGTTCGACAAATTCCCATAAACGTTTTTTAGAGCGTCCCAAAGTGTCTTGGCTGAATCCATTGCAATGAAGGACCAGAGAACATTCTCATCCAATGAAGCTTGAAGAATAACGAGAGCCCTCTGATCAGATTGGTACCATTTTGCTTTTGCCTTGACCGCAACATTTGCTTGGACTTGGGATGCAGTTTCAGCCAGTGCATCCCCGTCAACAACCACTTCTTGTAGAGGGGGTTCGACATCAAAATCGGTAGTGACATGTTCCCAAAGGCCATTGCTACTGAGCACTGCCTTAGCAGTCTTGGACCAGTAGAAGTAATTATCTCAATGAAGGACAATTGGGATGGTTTTGGATTGGGTTTCCATGGCAGAAGTTTGAAGAAGATCAAAAAAAAAAAACATGATGAGGGATGATGGAACATGAACGAAAGCAGAGACAAATCAGCGGAAGTGTAGATCTTCTTGCTCTGATACCATGAACAAATCCAAGAATTAGTTCGAATATGATTTTGATTTTTCGGTGGATGATGAGCCGACAATGAGATTTTAGGGTTACAGAGAAGGCTAAGTAATGAAAAGGAAATTATCTTCTTAATTTCATTGTACATGCGTAATTTGTACATATATACTGATAGATAATATTAAAGGAAAAGGAATGTATGTGAATGACTAAATATGAACAAAGAAATGTAATATCTTAAGAGACAAGAAAAGGAAACCATCGTTGTTCTTCGACAATCACGATTGTGATGTGTTCGTCGTGTTTTCCGAAGATCCAACCTCTCTCGTGATATAGTCAACAGTTTACTCACAAAACCGAGTTTTGTCTCCGAATCCCTAGGTCGATCCCTCAATCCCCATTAAGTAAAGTTGCGTCCAAGCCAACTATGACAGTCCATGCAGATTGCCCTCCTATAAACATAGTTACCTCTCATTGTGGCCCTTTCAATGAACCTATCACCAAACCACAATTATCTAATCCCCCACGAAAGCTCACTTTGAATCTGTTCCGACACTTGACCCATCAACCAATTCCCAACCAAAACAAACTTCTCATCAGACCCCTCATATCTCTGACCCTTACCAATCTCCAACACCCCCTCCCCTCCAATTTCCGTGAAAGACCCATCATCCTTTGTAGCCACTACCACTCCTTCTAGCCCCCAAAAAGAGCCTCCCGACCAACCCAATTCACAAAAACTTGATTTCATAAAAACTTGATTTATTCATTTGTCTTTCTAATACTTATAGAAATACAACAACAATAATTAAAACCTACAAAATAGGAATACATAGAGATGTGCTTCAATAAAACAAAGAATATGTCTCCCCCTTTAAAATAGAAACTGAAGAGTGTGACTACAAACTTATTCAAAACCCCATAAACCAAAAATAACCAAAACAAACTAACAAGATTAACCCAATAGATATACCATTTCAAAGCGCGGTAAAAACAGAGTAATAACATTTAGTAAGAGTTGTATGAGAGATGTAATAAAAATTTGAATAATAAATTTTATGATCGAAATAATTAGATAAAAATCTTAAATATATTTTGTGAATGATTTTAAATCGAAATGTTTTAAAAAAAACTGTGTTCCAATCAGTTGTTCAAATGATGGATATCCTTTTAACGCAAAATAACGAATAAAGATAGTTACTATTTGAATTGCGATGAAAACTCTGTGAACACAATATTTTGAACGTTCTTATATTTCGCATTATTTATCTAATCGTTCTGGTTATTAAAAATATGTTCCTATCATATCTATTTCTATAATTTCTTAACATTCTCGCCGCTACTCTTGCATATACTCACTATTGAATATTGGGTTTAACTACATCTATCTATATATATATATAGTGAGGAGGAAAAGATTATAATAATTAATTTAAACGGCAAAAATGGAAAAAATAATAAAAAAGCGAGGAGGGTTGCGTCGGGTCAAAGAAGCGCGTGGCGGTCAAAGCAAAACCGCGGCAGTGACTCAGCCGTCCCGCACCGCCACCTGTCCCCTTTCGCGCGTGTCTCGAGAGATGGCAGTTAGGATATTAACTGTCAACCCGTGTGACGTCACCCCTCTTATTTTGTCGTTTTCCTACACCCTCCCCCCATACTTTTCCTGTCCCAACAAGCCGATACAAATACCCAACGGTATTCTTTTTTTTTTTTGGCAATAATCCAACGGTTTTCTTCAAAGACTAGACGTGTATTTTTTTTTTTCTCAAAATCATTCAATACATGCGGGACTATAAGAATAGAGGTTTTGACAAGCTTTTTTTTGTGGAAAAAAAATCAATTGAAATTAGTCACATGTTCAATCAATTTAGATAATTCATTTGGCACATTTCTTGTCTCTGAAATAGAAAAAAACACTGGAAAAGGACAAATAAAAAAATAAACTTTGAAGTCGATAGAAAATCAAAATTCGTAGGAAAAAGTAGACATAAAAATAAATTCTTAAATATATTGATATTATTTTTACAAAGTCATCCTCCTCCTATAAAAAGTTACAAAATAATATATCAATAATCAGTTTTTGAATGGATAATGGAAGATGATAATTGTGTACTCATTAAGTAAGGCCGTCAAACGCGAAGTGAACTCGTCGGAACACAGCTGACGACAGCTAACTGAACTGGCAACAAAGAGAGACTACGACGAGTCAAGAGCCCCACCTTTTGAAGCATCAAACCACACGTGTCAGCCATTGAATTTCCGACAGCAACTTGGAATTAACTCCAAATATATAAAATAACACTTTGAGACAAACGACGCATTTTTAAATAAATTCCCGTGGAATATACTCACAGCTTAGCTGTCCACTTGTCAACACCCATAAACTCCGTGTTTCCCTTTCTGTTTCCTCCATTCTCAACACCCCCACGTATCTCCCCCTTTAATCCATATATATATATGTATCATCACTCCAACTATCTCTAAATCCATAAAGCTCATATCCTTTTTTGATCCTCCAAAACAATATCTTATCCAGTTTCCAGGAGATTCATCAGAAAACTCAGAAACATAATACTGTCTATACAGATCTTATCCGGAAACTAGATTACTCCGTTTTCATCGACTCCAGTGCATATGAATCCGTTTTCTTCGTTCTCTGACCCGTTTCTCACTGGGTCGGATCACGGGTCACCGGTTTCCGATACCGGGTCATCTTCTCAGATGCTTGCGGCCAGCTGTCCGAAGAAACGGGCCGGTCGAAAGAAGTTCCGGGAGACTCGGCATCCGATATACAGAGGAGTTCGCCGGAGGGACTCGGGCAAGTGGGTCTGCGAGGTGAGAGAGCCCAACAAGAAGTCGAGGATATGGCTCGGGACTTTTCCGACGCCAGAGATGGCGGCGCGTGCACACGACGTCGCCGCCATCGCCCTCCGCGGTCGCTCCGGAGCTTGTCTCAACTTCGCCGATTCGTCGTGGCGAGTCAGGATCCCTGACTCGGCCTCCACCAAGGATATCCAGAGGGCGGCGGTCGAGGCTGCGGAGGCGCTCCATCCGGAGACGGCGGAGCCTGAAGATCACCGGGAAAGTGTGCCGGAGACGGAGGCGGTGGAGGAGGAAGGAGTGGTTTATGTGGACGAAGAGGCGGTGTTTGGGATGCCGAGGTTGCTGGCGAACATGGCGGAGGGGATGCTTTTACCGCCGCCGGAAGTGACGTGGACTCATAGTGACGTGGAGGTCTATGATGACATGTCACTCTGGAGTTATAGCATCTAATTTATTTTTCATTTATTTTTTATTTTTTATTGAGGGAAATATTTTGTTAGGAACTTTCTTCGTACCTGAATTTTGATGTTGTACGGAGAGTAAATGTAACAGACGAAATAATCGAATAGTCAAATGAAAGTGTTAACCAATAAAAAAAGAATATTTTGGATCCATCCTTCTTATTGTAAATTATTATAGATCTCAAATTTCTATATTTTGTTTTACGAATCTGACATATAGAACAAATAGTCTAGATTTTGAATTATAAATTAAACATTTCGATGTAAAATAGTCGAAAGAATTTGCTTAGCATAATTATTTTGTGGTATTTAAAAATGTAACGAAATATTGAATTATTCAGGGAGGGATTTCATTTTGAATATTCAAAAGAACAAGCTGAAGATAGCAACCAAATCAGGTTTAATATTAATTGTTTATAAATTTTTAGATTTCACATTAAGTAAATTCGAATCTAAAATGAAAATAATAAAATGCATCATATACATGAAATTGTTCGGAATTTGGAGTACGTAGAAGAAGAAATTATATCTTAAATATTTTAATACATTGTATAATCGGAGTATAACATACAATACTACTCTTCATCGTTACATAGGTATGTATGAAATATATATATATATATAATTTGGTTTGAAATATCCAGAAAATAATTAAACCCTAGCTTCAGCTTTTTTTTTTTCTTAAACGTGTGGAGTCATTTATGACACGCTTTTAAACGAATAAGAGAAGCTTTTTCCAGGCAAATCCCTGAAAATAACAATAGGCCCATAAAGTTTCCAAAAATCACGGGTTGACCTCATTATTTAGAAATTATTATTTTTTGAAGATTAGACTTTAATTAATTTTTTATGTTAAAAATATTTCTGCAGGAGACAATAAGGATAAAGACCTAACACCATACAAACAGCTGGTTAACACTAACCAGCAAAAGATCAAATCAAATGAAATAGATCATGAGATCTAACTATGAAAGCGATGTTGACCAATTGTAGATGAAAATTACAAAATTATAATTTTCATTTGTTTAGTTTTAATTATCCTTCTTGGGGTTCTAATCCATTGTTTCAGTTCTGAATAACCTTCCACACCATTTAGTATGTATTGAAAAAAGTACAAATCAAATTGAAATAAGGTTGCGATAAGATATGGAAAACGATATATATATATATATATATATATATATATATATATATATATATTTCTAATTTCGGAAGTCATATTTTTCCCCTCTGATCTTTTTTACCAATTGTTTTTTATTTTATTTCTTGTCGCCATTTTGCAAGGCTGCGTTCGGACCGATACCCATGGCGTCCGCGAGTATGCCTCTACTCCAACTCAATCCGACACGCTTCGTCGATCGTCGTCGCCACGCGCTCGTCCTCAGCTCGTACGGACAAAAGCCCACTTGTTCCTTCCGCAACTTACGTGTCTCCCCGCCGCCGTCTCGGCCTTCGCTCAAGGCAAAATCCGGCGGTTTCACTCGTGCTTACGTCACCGGAGCCCCTCCTATTGTCGGAGAACCCGACCCGAGGGTTGAAGGATCGGAAACCGAGTCCGAGAAGGATCAACCCGCCGATTTGGTGAGCTGGGGGCTTGTATGGAGTTTGTTGAACCAGCACAAGCTTAGACTCGGCGTTTGCTTCCTGACTCTCGTTGGATGCAGCACTTGCACTTTGTCTATGCCTGTTTTTTCTGGTATGAATCTGGGCTTAAGTTTAATCGATTCTCCTGTTTAGTCTTCACTTGATTAATTTAGTCGTCGTATGTCAATTCCCAATGATTTTGGATTGGTTCTTTGCCCCGGTGTGGACTATTTCGATGAGAGAGAGCTGGAATTAGGGTTTTGTTCCTTAATTCTGCTTCTCAGAGAGAAACGGGATGGAGTCTTTGATCGGTTCTTCATCACTTGGGTTCCAAATTTGACGGCTTTACTTATTCTGCTGCTTGTTTTTTATGAAATGGGGACAAATTTGCATCGATCCTTTATCTGGGTATTTGCTAATTTCGGTGAAAGAAAGGTCAAATCAATAGTTTGAGTTGATGGTTGTAGGTAGATTCTTTGAAGTGTTGATAGGAGCAAGACGGGAGCCACTGTGGCGGCTGCTGAGCAAAATCGCGGTTTTGTATGCGTTCGAGCCAATCTTTACTATTGCTTTTGTAACTAACATAACTGTCATCTGGGAGAACGTTATGGCAGCGTTAAGAGCTCAGATTTTCAGAAGGGTTTTGATCCAGAAGGTATAGTTTGTGAGTTTTCTACCGCCAAAGTTATGGAACAGCTACTATCATTGTTGTTTCTGACTGTGAGATGATATCCTGATGGGATTTTGTCTCTTCGCAGGCCGAATTTTTCGACAGATATAAGGTTTGTGTTTTCTCTGTCTCTCTGGGAAGCAGTTGCTCTTTTTTTGGTGCGGAGATCTTTGATACTACGCTGAATGGTATTGGATTCATCTAATGTAACTCCTAGGTGGGAGAGCTTACGGGTTTGCTCACATCCGATCTCGGTGCTTTGAATAACGTTGTGAATGAGAATATATCACGGGATCGTGGTTTCAGGGCTCTTTCCGAGGCAAGCTACTCTTCTTCTCTAAGCTAAAAGCATGATTTGTCTTGCTAACGCGTTTTAGTTGCATTTTGCCAATCGGATGCATGTATTTTATGCATATGAAAGAAATTCATTTGGTCTTTCCGGCTTCTCAAAGTGGTCTGATTCACTTTTGTTGCTTATCCATTTTGCCATTTTCAGGTTCTAGGTACAATATGCATTTTGTTTACTCTATCGCCTCAACTTGCGCCTGTTCTGGGCCTGTTGATCCTCGGTGTCTCGGGTTTAGTTGGTAAATTTTACAGCTCTCTGTCTCTCTCTCTTCTCTTTACTCCCAAATTTTTCTTCGTGGTAACTACCTGTGTAATCTATGCTGAATCGGTAAATATTTTGGAAGCTGTGTACAAGAGATCTACTACTCATTTTTTCAAAGCACATGGACTGGCCCAAGCATCAATGTCTGATTGTATAAGCGAAACATTCTCTGCGATCCGTACTGTAAGTTCTTGATTCACAGATTGGGGAAACTCTGATTTGGAAACGGAGCTCAAATGATACCGTTACTTTTGCAGGTTCGATCGTTTGGTGGTGAAAGACGCCAGATGTCACTCTTCGGTGAACAGGTAAAAGAATATCGGATCTTTTAATCTGCTAAAAAAACCAATCTTCTAAATAGTTAAGATTCTGTATCCAAGTGTAAATCCTATTCATATCACCATATGAGCTCCTCGGGTTTAATATTTTGGGTCTTCTGTGATGCATACAGATTCTTGCTTACCAGCGCAGTGGCTTAAAGCTCGGTACTTTCAAATCTGTAAATGAGTCTATAACAAGAGTTGCTGTCTATATTTCTCTGCTGGCTCTTTATTGCATCGGTGGGAATAAGGTTAAAACGGTAAGCAAAACCTGCTTGTAACACTCCTTTTCCGTCGAACTATAAATAGTGCATATTTGGAGAAGTGATGGAACATAATACTAACTGAAGTCACAAACCTAGAAAAATAACATGTTCCTGATTTGCTAGGAACTGTGTCCTGCCTGTTCTTTTTTTTTGTGGATAGATATTTTTTTTCATTGTTAAGATCTTGTTTTTTTCCTTCTTGGTTCTTACTTCTTACACGTTTTGTTGTATGCAGGGTGAGCTCGCTGTTGGAACAGTTGTTTCATTTATCGGATACACGTTCACTTTGACATTTGCTGTCAGTACTGGTTTTTTCTGATCTCTATCGATATGGCAGTTGAACTGTACTATATCCATATGCTATATGTGTAAACTGAACTATCGTAATGAACGATTTCTCGACCAGGTCCAAGGACTTGTTAACACTTTTGGAGATCTTCGTGGGACTTTTGCTGCTATCGAGAGGATCAATTCCATTTTAAACACGGTGGAAACAGACGAAGCTCTTGCCTTTGGTTTAGAAAGAGAAATCCATGCAAAGAAACCCCAAGATGAAAGCATGAGATTGTTCTTATTATCTGATGGCGCTAACGGGAATACACGACATCTGGATAATCATTACATGTCGGGTCTGAAATCGAGCAGCAGTCTACGTAGCTTTGCATGGTCTGGAGATGTCTGTCTCGAAGGTAAAAACTTCCGCAAAGCATTATCTTTCCTGATAATAATCAAGGGTTCTTTAATATCTCTGGTTTTTTCTAAGTGTAGATGTGCATTTTGCTTATCCTTTAAGACCCGACGTTAAAGTTCTTGACGGGCTGAATTTGACGCTAAAATACGGGACTGTGACTGCTTTGGTCGGATCTAGTGGTGCCGGAAAAAGTACTATTGTACAGTTACTGGCACGTTTCTATGAGGTTTATATACCTTTTTCTCTTCCCTTTTTGAAGTATGATACTCGGTTGCCGATTTTGAACGGTGCTAATTCTTTGAATTCCCATTTTCGTAGCCGACACAAGGACGTATCACAGTGGCCGGAGAAGATGTCAGAACATTTGACAAGAGCGAGTGGGCTAAGGTTGTCTCAATTGTGAATCAGGTGGGTATATATATCTGTTCAACTTAGTTTGGTAAGAAAACGAATCTTAGATTAGTGTTGTGTCCATTCTACGGATTGAAAACATTAGTTCATTTACAGGAACCCGTTCTCTTCTCGCTTTCTGTTGCGGAAAATATTGCGTATGGTCTCCCTAACGATTACGTATCAAAGGATGATATCATTAAGGCAGCCAAAGCTGCCAATGCTCATGAGTTCATTATATCACTTCCTCAGGTTTGGTTTCATGTCTCACATCTGCCTTAAATCTCCATTGTCATGTTCTTTCTGAATAATACTCATGATGGGTTTTGAAAGGGATACGATACGTTGGTTGGTGAACGTGGAGGATTGCTAAGCGGAGGTCAGAGACAGGTATATATACAAGATTTCTACGAGAGTTTTGTGATTATGCACACACGTATATATTAGACCTTGGAGATGGTTTTTGACGCTGTGGTTCATTGGATGTATCAGAGAGTTGCCATAGCTCGAGCTCTGCTCAAGAACGCTCCCATTTTGATTCTTGATGAGGTGAGTGACCCTTTTCAACTTGAATTATCGATTAGCCTCCCGGAAAAAAAAGGACTGAAGAAGCAGAACTAGTTCAAGCATCGGGGTGGTACCCGAGTTTCCCGGCTTACCCGACCTCGGCCTCACTTCCTCGGGTTTCTCTATCGGTGGCCTACCCAGTCTTGGCTTCTTCCGGTCGGTGAGGGGCCAGGAGTGGTCCGATGAGACCTCGAGGCAGGGGGTAACCCTTGGCTAAAAAGAGGTGAAAGGGGTGAGCCCGACGACCGTGAAGAAAAAGAGGTGAGATGCGAGAACAGACTTACCCGAGATTCCAGCAGCAATGACTGGCGAGGGTCTGATGTTGAGATGTGGAGGCGAGGGACGAGCGGAGAGCTTCGTGTCACCGAAGCTATCCCTAAATTGCTTTCACCGCCCTGACCCTAACACTAAATCGCCAAAAGCGAAGTTCCCTCTTTTAAAACTAAAACCTAACCCTGACTCGCTTCATCACCCTCACCGCCCGGACACTGCTCGCTCTTGCGACCTCTCCTCCTCTCCCTTTTGGCTTGGATACTCGCAGGACACCGATACTCGTCGGTCAAATCCCGAACTCGAACCCAAAGGTCGGGGTTTGACCGTCGATGGATCCACCCATAGACAAATACCCGAGATTTTGGGTTACCCAGCTCACGAGTCGAGCATCCTAGTAACTTCTTCTGACTGGTTTGGGCAGGCGACGAGTGCGCTGGACGCAGTGAGCGAGCGGCTGGTACAAAGTGCGCTGAACCGACTGATGAAGGGACGGACGACGTTGGTGATCGCTCACCGTCTCAGCACCGTTCAGAACGCTCACCTCATCGCCGTTTGCTCCGATGGGAAGCTCATTGAACTTGGCACTCACTCCCAGTTGCTGGCTCGAAAGGGTCAATACGCTTCACTTGTTGGCACCCAGAGACTGGCCTTTGAGTAAAATTATTATTGTTGCTCTTTCGTATTTTGGTAATTATTTACATTTTTACTGTTTTACAAATACCACCACAAAAGGAATGGATCATAGCTTTTAAGTTGATCAGTGTTTGACCTTGTTAAGTAGTTTAGTTCATGTTATATTTATATATATGTGTATGTATGTATGTATGTATATGTAATACATGTAATAATTAGGACAAGTCTATCCTTTTTTCCCCCTCTGAAGTGGGAGGCTTTAAGGTCCAAGGAACAGTACGACGTCGTTTGACAGAAAAGGAAACTCCCGGCATGAATTTCCTATTTTACCCTTGGGTAATCACTTGATTTACCAATCTATCCGGGGAAATGAAATAAAGTAGTTTCCATTTTTACACGCCTTCAAGGTTAGAAAGGTCATTCTATCTTTACTTCTCCAGATCCAAACGCCAAACAGCTTTAAAAGACCCCCGAAGCCGCTCTCGCTCAATCAATTGTCTTTTGTTTACCACATTCCAAGAACCGAAATTTTGTTTCCTTCCCTTCCCGTAATCCACTGAGATAGAGAGATTACTCGCACTGGTAGGTAAATTTCTAGGGTTTTTGTTCAATCTGGCACTGTTGTTGATTCATGATCGGATTCTGTCATTTTCGAACGACAACGATCCTTTCGGCGATTGTTGGATAAAAACCCACTTCGAGTTCCTGAAACCCATCTTGTAGTTTTTGCCGATCGGTGTTTGCTCTGTTTTGTAATTAGCCAAATCGGTGGGTTTAGATATGAACGGGGGAAACAAGCGAGTCTACCACAGACTCGGCGGGCCGACAGGGCCATCGGACCCGAAGCAGAAGGTCTGTTTCCACTGGAGAGCCGGTCGGTGCAATCGCTTCCCCTGCCCTTTCCTCCACAGAGAGTTACCGCCGCCGGGTCATGTCACAACGTCGACGACGACGGCGACGTCGAACAAACGAGTCGCCGACGAGTCCGGGTTCGCGGGTCCGAGTCACCGGAGAGGACCCGGGTTCAATGGGAATGGTAATTCGTGGGGGAGATTCGGTGGGAGCAGGGCGGTGACGAAGACGGAGAAAGTTTGCAACTTTTGGGTTCAAGGGAATTGCTCGTATGGCGATAAGTGCAGATACTTGCATTGTTGGAGCATGGGAGATAGTTTTTCTTTCTTAACTCAACTAGACGGCCATCAAAAGGTGCGTTTTTTTTTTGTTTTCCTTTGTCTGAAATTGGTCAAGTTTCATGTTGTTTTATGTGATTTTGATGGGTTCTTATTGTGATTTCCCTGGGCACAGCTTGTTAGTGCGATTGATCTGCCATCTGGATCGGGTAAACTTTACACGGCCAGTCAAGATGAGACTGACTCGGGGGGCCGACAGGGCCATCGGACCCGAAGCAGAAGGTCTGTTTCCACTGGAGAGCCGGTCGGTGCAATCGCTTCCCCTGCCCTTTCCTCCACAGAGAGTTACCGCCGCCGGGTCATGTCACAACGTCGACGACGACGGCGACGTCGAACAAACGAGTCGCCGACGAGTCCGGGTTCGCGGGTCCGAGTCACCGGAGAGGACCCGGGTTCAATGGGAATGGTAATTCGTGGGGGAGATTCGGTGGGAGCAGGGCGGTGACGAAGACGGAGAAAGTTTGCAACTTTTGGGTTCAAGGGAATTGCTCGTATGGCGATAAGTGCAGATACTTGCATTGTTGGAGCATGGGAGATAGTTTTTCTTTCTTAACTCAACTAGACGGCCATCAAAAGGTGCGTTTTTTTTTTGTTTTCCTTTGTCTGAAATTGGTCAAGTTTCATGTTGTTTTATGTGATTTTGATGGGTTCTTATTGTGATTTCCCTGGGCACAGCTTGTTAGTGCGATTGATCTGCCATCTGGATCGGGTAAACTTTACACGGCCAGTCAAGATGAGACTTTAAGGATCTGGGATTGTGCTTCTGGACAGGTTTTGATTCCCCTCTGTTGTTTATCCATAACTTTAGTGTTGTCGTTTTAAAGCTGGTTCTTCTTTGATTGAGTCTCCTTCCCTCCCTAGTTTAATCTTTGTTTGGTCTCTGATGTATAGTGTACGGGTGTATTCAATCTTGGTGGGGAAGTTGGCTGCATGATTAGTGAAGGACCATGGCTACTGGTCGGCATGCCGAATCTTGTTAAGGTAAGTTAGTCGTGTGGTCTCTAGGGTATTTCCTTGATTGGTGAATCTCTTTCTTCATGGATATCATCAAGAATCACTTCTATCCTCTCCGGTGATTACTGTTCTTAATGCAAATGAATTCCTTGATGCTTATATTCAGGCTTGGAACATTCAAGACAACGCAGACCAGAGTCTCACTGGACCTGTTGGCCAAGTATATTCACTGGTTGTGGGTAACGATCTGCTGTTTGCCGGTACACAGGTGAATAGCTCAGCTCGTTGGTCCTTTTCGTTATGTTCCTCCAATCTAAGTAAGTTTTGGTGATAAGGGTATTTCCCTCTCGCTCTCTCTTTATGCAGGACGGCTCTATTTTGGCTTGGAGATATAACGCTACCACTAGTTGTTTCGACCCAGCAGCATCACTTAAAGGCCACACACGTGCGGTTGTTTCATTGTATGTTGGAACAAACAGCAGGCTTTATTCGGGTTCTATGGACAATTCTATAAAAGTAAGTAGTGCTGTTTGCCCATCATGTTAGAATTGAAACTCCCGATCTGAGTTAACCTTTTTGTGTTCCGTTTTGAAGGTATGGAGCCTCGATAATCTGCAATGCATACAGACCCTTACCGAGCATACGTCTGTCGTGATGTCCCTCATCTGCTGGGATCAATTTCTCTTGTCTTGTTCGTTGGACAACACGATCAAGGTACCTTTTCCCCAAAGCGTTCATCTCCTTGATCCCTTTCATTTTCCGACAATATCTTAGATTATGTTCTTACGGGTTTGGTGATAGGTCTGGGTTGCTACTGAAGGTGGAAACTTGGAAGTGACATATACTCATCAGGAAGAACATGTAAGGTTCCTTACAAACAAACCCGGTTCATGCATTTTCCCGTAACGTTTATCCGCCTTCTTGGTTCATCTATCGGTTGACTAACGGTTTTTTTTTTCTTACTGAATGATGGAATTCAGGGTGTTCTAGCTCTATGTGGAATGCACGATGCAGAGGCCAAGCCGGTTTTGCTATGCTCTTGCAACGACAATTCCTTGCGTCTCTACGACTTGCCATCGTAAATTCTTCCAGACATCATTACCTTCTGAATCTAATACCGTGTTTATCTCCTTTTCCGAATGCATGTTTGACGTTATTTCTCCCCCGTGGATTGTGACTGATGATTAGGTTTGCGGAAAGGGGCAAAATTTTTGCGAAAGAAGAGATACGGTCGATCCAGATTGGCCCGGGAGGCTTATTCTTCACCGGTGATGGGACTGGTCAAGTTAAAGTGTGGAAGTGGAACACCGTACCAACGGCTGCTTCGTCTTGAGCTGCGAAGCAAAAAGCGTAGTTTTTATCATTGTCACGATCTCTCCTCCTCGTTTCTGCTTCAGAAATTACGGATTTGAAGAAGCAGGAGGAGGAACTGACGATATACGTCCCCGAGGATTTGGGGGTGTCAGGGAAATTTCCCTTGTTTCAGTTTTCCGAGGTCTTCACCGGTTGAGGAGAGATTAGGTCCTGTTAACTCCATTGAACTGCAACACAGGCTGCGGCATTGGGAAAAAGATTATTAGAGGAAACTCTTTTGTATCATCATTATTATGGATGGATTTTTTTTTTATTGTAGACAATGATCAGATGAATTCTTGAGGCCCTCCCATAATTTTCTTCTGTATCATTTATCATTGGTTAATGAGAGTTGTAGTTTCGAATGAAAGCGTTGAGCTTATGAATTTCCTCAGCTCATTACGAATCAAATCAAACCCAAAAAGGGCTTTTTTTTATATCATACGAATCACACTGACAATGTGGTATCATCGAATCCCGCTTCAAGCATTGAATCGAATGACACTGGTTTTGATCAAAATCGATGCGGGATTTATGGAAATATGAAGGAGGCATAGCCAGAAATCGAGTACGGGTATTTGTGAAGATGGGTTCTAATGACTGATGAGGTGCCCCGGTGTCAATGGAGGCTGACTTCTGGGTTCACCGAGTCCTGAAGGTGAACTGAAATTCATGGCGGCCGCCGGTGAATTGTTGGAATCAGATTGATAGATTTTTTATAATGGGCTTATGAGGCCCACTAAAGTATGACTTTTTAATCGGTCATAGCCCAATAGCATCCAAGCCAATAGAGAAACCCCTATTTACCACTAGAATTTTGGCTGTTGTTATTATTATTATTATTATTGTTATTATTATTATTATTAGGGTTAATCCCATATTCCCCCACAAATTTTCGAAAAAGTTTCAATTTACTACACCAATTTTTAATTTGATATAAAACTACCCCGAATTTCAAATATTTCCAAATTCCCACACAAAATCTTAAAATGTATTGCAATTTCCCCTATATTCGTAAACGACGTTAAGTTCCGTCAATTTTGATGCTGACATGGCATGCCACATCATCCAGATTTTACCAAATCATCACATTTCGCCACATCATCCTGCCACGTTAGAAAATAAATAAAAAATAAATAAAAATAAAAAATTTTCAGAATTTTTTTTAAAAACTATTAAAATGAAATATTTTTTTAAAAAACTTTTAAAAAATTACAGAATTTTAAAATTTATTTTTTTAAAAAAAAAAATTACATATTACATATATATACACTTTTATATCTATACACAATTATATACATATACATATTTTTTACTTATTTTCTGACGTGGTAGGATGATGTGGCGAAATGTGATGATTTGGTCAAATCTGTATGACGTGGCATCAAAATTGATGGAACTTAACGTCGTTTACGAATATGGGAAAATTGTAACACATTTTAAGATTTTGTGTGGGAATTTGGAAATATTTGAAATCTGGTGTAGTTTTATATCAAATTAAAAATTGGTGTAGAAAATTGGAACTTTTTTGAAAATTTGTGGGGGAATATGGGATTAAACCTTATTATTATATGTCAAATTGTAATGATGATAATAAGCGAGTAACCTATATTCACCCAAACGAGCAAAAAACAAATCTTTTCATGTGGTCTTTCAAGGTGTTTAGGTTGTAGTCTTTGATCCAACCACAAAAGCTAATTTATAATTTATACTAATTAGGACTCTATGCCAAAAACAAGAGGTCGGACATGTTTTTTTTTTATAAAAAAAATAGATATGAAATTAAGAAGAATATATTGGACGATATACATCGCTCCTTTGCAATTTCCAACAAATTAACCAAATCTTTGCTTCAACAAATATCTCGACCCAACCATCTTTGACACAACAAATGTTTCTCTTTAATTTTTTTTTTATTTTCAAATTTTAAAAGAACAGTACATGTAACCGATTTTAAATCATATTTTCTTATGTTAACGTTTAGTAGAGGAACGGAAAACTCTTCATGTGAATGGGGGGGGGGGGT